TAATGTGGGAAGCTTTTTTGTTATTAAATTATATGATCTGGGAGTTTACATTTTAGATATTCCCTTTTAATTTTTTTGATAAACTTAGGGGTTTTTTTACCTGCTATCTTAAAAAAAATCCATTTTAGTAATGTTTAAAGGTAACAATGGCACTAATAAATAAGTCATTTTATAATTTTACACTTGATAAACTAAAAAGGTGGCCAGGAATTTCTATTCATTTTCTTAATGGTGAACAACCTTGTTTTTCAAAAGTAGGAGTTAATAAAAATATTAATTTTTTTTTCCCTCTTCCATCACATTTAGGAAAACTCCTCCTTAACTTGGTAGATCATACTGAAGTGGTCAGAGATTTAACTTTTGCCCCGGATGGGAGCTTGATCCTAGTGTCAGCTTCAAGAGACAAAACTCTCAGAGTATGGGACCTGAAAGATGATGGTATGTCTTTTTTTCCAGGCTATGAAAAAGGATTAGTTTCTTAATTGCACTATTAAGAGGCATAAGGGTTCATCTGGGGAATTTAGCTTTGAAAATGGCATATGATCAAAATTTCCTTTTCTTGGCTTAATCCTTTGATTCCTTTCCTTTTATAAATCCTAAATGTGACCCAGTATAGGAGTACTAATTACTCTAAGTAAATAATCTGATGTTGTTCAGAAACTAACTATACAAATCTATATATCACCGCTATATTTGAGGACAAAATCTTGATCAGATTTAGGGTCTTTAGCCGGGCATTGTGGCAAGCACCTGTAGTCCTAGCTACTTGGGAGGCTGAGATAAGAGAATTGCTTAAGCTCAGGAGTGGGAGGTTGCTGTGAGCTGTGATGCCACAGCACTCTACCCAGGGTGACAGATGAGGCTCTCAAAAAAAAAAAGATTTAGGGTCTTGGTCCAGGTGCAGTGGCTCAAGCTTGTCATAGCACACTGGGAGGCCGAGGTGGGTGGATTGCCTGAGCTTACAGGTTTGAGACCAGCCTGAACAAGAGCAAGACCCAGTCTCTAAAAATAGTTAGATGTTGTGACAGGTACCTGTAGTCCCAGTTACTTGGGAGGCTGAGGCGAGAAGATCGCTTGAGCCCCAGTTAAGAGGTTGCTGTGAGCTATGATACTATGGCACTATACTGAGGACAACAAAGTGAAATTCTGTCTCAAAAAAGAAAAAACAGATTTAGGGTCTTGCACAAAATGGTCTTTGTTAGCTTATTTTTTCTAAGGGAGAGTAATTAACTTCCTGCATTTAGTTAGTGAAAATTTAAGCAGATGTTGAAGTAATTTAGTAATCTAATAAAATTTACATTAAAACATAATTTTCATACCAGAATTCATAATGTGTAAATAAGCACAATAATTAACATAATGTGTTGGTTAATAAGCACAATAAGTTGGATAGGTTAAGAAAAAAAATTTTTATAAAAAGTAAAAGATTTGTCTTTCAATATAACATATGTAATATATCTTTCTGATACATCAATGAGAAGTATTCACCTTTTTCTGAAACCTTAGTATTTGTGATGCATACAAAGCTTTGGAGAGGCTACCTTATTTGAGAGGATCAGAGCTGAGCATTTCTTCTCCCTCTTTAGTCCCTAAAGAAAGAGTCTACATTTTTAACTAAAACCTTGTATTTAAATTAGATTTGCTGGTGCTCTCACAGCCTTAAGCTGGAGGTTGACAGGCTTGTCTAGGGGTGATATAACTTAAATTGAATATAGTAGGAAAGAGAATTCTCAGATTTGGAGATAGTCCCGCCAGTCAGTTGTAACTATTGCCTAATAGAGTAATATGCTAAAGTTAATAAATCATGAAGTACCTCCTCTCATTTTACCAGTTCTCTGATTGCTTAGCTATGGAGTAGCAAAGGGATCTCAATGGTTAAAATAGTTTGATTAGGGTGGCTCCTGTGGCTCAAAAGGGTAGGCCACTGGCTCCATATGCCGGAGGTGGCGGGTTCAAACCCAGCCCTGGCCAAAAAAAAAAAAAAAAATTGTTTAGTAATTTTTTCTTTTCCTTTGCATATCAAATGGTGCTTGCTTATCTCAACCTAACTTCAGCTGTACACATTCATATTTTATGAATGCAGGCTCAGTAAAATGTAAGCTCCAAGAGAGTAGTGGACTTTGTCTAATTCACAGCTATCTCCTCTGTGCCAGCACAGCACCCGGTATGTAGAATGCACTCAATAAGTATTTATAAAACTAAGAATTAAATATGCTTAAGCGTAGTTGTATGCTATGGGTATAGTACTCAAGGACTTTGCAGTGGAATGTACTTATGCTCTTAACTTGCTGTGTTCCAGTTCCTTTATTTGTAGAATAATGAGATCAGACTAAAAGAATTCTGTCTTCTCTAGATAACAGTCCCAGGCTTTTTCTTAAAAGAATAGATGTTAAATATTTTAGGCTCATGAACCATACTGTCTGCTATAGTATGGGCGTGGTTGTGTTGTAATAAAATTTTAGTTATAAAAATAAGTAGCTGGTACCTGTTGCCAACCCCTGTTACAGATAAATTGCTTTTAGCTGTAAATGTTTATGATCTTGTGATAGACTGCCATTTTGAAATACTTCTCATTTGAAATGGATTCTAGGGCTAACAGATACTTCTTTTCTTCAGGAAACATGATGAAAGTATTGCGGGGGCATCAGAACTGGGTGTACAGCTGTGCATTCTCTCCTGACTCTTCTATGCTGTGTTCAGTTGGAGCCAGTAAAGCAGTATGTGTCAAAGTTCTTGTACATTCCTTGTGAATTGGATTATAATAATGTGTGCATAATCATTTTAAATCTAAGTAACCTATTAAGTCTGTGCTCGGTGTCATGAATATCTTAAATGTTTTATTTCATAATGGGGAGAATTGCATGAAGGAAATTAAATAAATTATTGATTGTGAAGTGAGAAGTTGGATTGCTTTTAAGGATGATATTTGTAAAATGAGGGGTATGTCAAATTTAGTTTTTGTAAGATCTAGAAAAGTTAATGTGCTATATAAAGAGATCTAGTCCACATGTTAAGACATTCCCTTGCTAATTATTTTCTTCTCTGTTGTTCTATTTTTTTGTCCAGTTTGCTGTTTTTAAAGTTTTGAGTCCCAGCTGGTCCTGGACATTTAACTGAAAAAAAGTAACTTAAAAACCTAATGAGAGTAAAAATAGCACTCATGTATGTCCTAGAGTGAATTAGAGATGAAATTGGATAATGTATATGTTTTATGTACCTATAGACAGCTTGAGTAAAATGACTCTCAAGAGGGTTATGCTTATTTAATGAACTCTTTTAGTTTACCAGCTGAGTTAGTATAGTTAAAGGGATCTCAGTAGAGTCAGATATTTATGAAATGTTGAAGTCCAAATACACGTGATGATCACAGTACCGTACACTTTGAATTAATGTGGGTGTGGGAGGCTAGTTAAAATGCATTTTATTTAGCTAAGAAGTATGTTAAAATGGTAGTTGCAAATGTTGGAAGTTTAGAACAAGATACTCAGTTTAGTTCTTTAAAAATCATAAGAACAACAAAGCTAGATGTTGACATTGCTATTTTAGGCTGTGTGTTTTCCATATGCTTCTTGCTTTCCCTGTCACAGGTGGTGGCAGCAATATTGGTGTGATTGAGGTTATGCTGGCACCACTCGCACACAAGCGCACAATGGTGTTAGCTGGGCAGAAAGAGTGGCATCTCTGGCTACCGGGCTGGGGGCGACCTTTACCCGTAGGATGAAGTAACCTTGCATTCGGCTGCAAGGTGTACTGTACGTACACAGGTGCTGGTCGATGTCCACTTTCTGCTTTTCTTTCTTTCTTTTTTAAAATAATTTTCCCCACAGTGAAATCCACTGACTCCTCCAAGTAAATTGATCTTCCAGTTTGATGGAATTGGGAGTCTTGACAAATGAAACCAATTTAATGTAAAGTAATTGACTTTCAAATGGTTTCTCTGTGTTATTTTTTGGAATTCTTTAAGATGTTAGAGCTATCTTAAGTCTTTGCTCCAACTTGTAATTTGTACTTATTTTCCTTTGTAAGTAATATATTGTGTCTGTGCAGAAAAAAAGTAGTAAAAAGGATTGCTTTACTCCAAGAGGAGGAGAGATTGTCTTATTAGGATTGTTACAAACCTCCAAACTCACATTTAATATAACAGACCGAAGTGAGCATTAGAATTCTATTTAGAGCTATTCTGCACAACCTAAATTAACTGATCTTTAGAATCTAAAACTGTATGTGAACTTGTTCTTAAATAATTGAACTGTTTTATACATAAAATGACTAATGATTATGGTCAGTTTGGGAAAGATAAGATTGGTAAATCTTGACTGACAGAAATGTTATAATTGTATTATTTTCATAAACTAGCATTTTCATTTTGTAATGTGTTTTAACGTCCTTGTTGTTTGCCAAATAAGTTTCATTTGGCTGTGAAAATTCTCTTTGCTTGCAGTATCTGTTTCTCTTCCTAGGCTCACGTTGGTGACCCAAGCCTATTGTAAACAAGTGATTATCTCAAAGGGAGATGCCAATGGAGTAACAATTTGTTAACCTTACGTTTTCTGTCTGTATATTTTTTAAAAATTTGGTAGTTTCTGGAAAAAAAGAGAAGGGGGTTTGTAGTATTTAACCTTATTTATTTCTGTATATTATAGTTATTTAGTTTTTGGAATAAATGGATTTCAGTATAACTTTGTGGTTAAATTGCATTGCCTTTAGGTTTAGGCTTATTTTTTAATTAACATTTAACAGAAACATTTGAAATAGAATTTGCATGTCTGCTTTAATTAACTTAAAGACTGATTTTAATCTGACTGTGACACTGAGCATATTCTTTAAATTACTCATAATTTATAATGTTTAATTTAATATAATCTTAATTAAATTTAGCAGTTTTAGTTTAAGATGTGCCATTTTATCCTCTGTGTGTCTGAATGAAGCTATAACATTTACCTTTTTATTGCAGGTTTTCCTTTGGAATATGGATAAATATACCATGATACGGAAACTAGAAGGACATCACCATGATGTTGTAGCTTGTGACTTTTCTCCTGATGGAGCATTACTGGCTACTGCATCTTATGATACTCGAGTATATATTTGGGATCCACATAATGGAGACATCCTGATGGAATTTGGGTGGGTACAGCATGAACTATTTAATAGTCTGTAATTCATTTCTGGCTATCTATAGCTTTTAAGAAGTTATGTGAGTATTTAGAATCACTAACCTATGAAACTTAAAATTACAGTCTATCATAATTTAAAAGTTTGGTATTGTTTAAGTCAGTGGTTCTTAACCTTCCTAATGTTGTGGCCCTTTAATATAGTTCATGTGGATTGCGACCCACATGTTGAGAACCACTGGTTTAAGCCTTGGACTAATGTAAAGCTTTAGGTACACATTCTGTAAATAATTTGGCTCTCTTGATATAAGTGTTGCTATGTAATAGTACCTGACTCTTTGTAGATTTAAAGTTTCATGTTGGAGAAGAATGGTTAAAATCAAAGTTGGACCTACACTTAACTGTTTTAAGCCAACCACATTGTGAAGAAGAGAGTAATACGGCTCGGCACCTGTGGCTCAAGTGGCTAAGGCGCCAGCCACATACACCTAAGGTGGTGGGTTTGAATCCAGCCCGGGCCTGCCAAACAACGACGGCTGCAACCAAAAAATAGCCGGGCGTTGTGGCGGGCGCCTGTGGTCCCAGCTACTTGGAAGGCGGAGGCAGGAGACTCGCTTGAGTCCAGGAGTTGGAGGTTGCTGTGAGCTGTGATGCTATGGCACTCTACCCAGGGGGATAGCTTGAGGCTCTGTCTCAAAAAAAAAAAAAAGAAGAAGAAGAAGAGAGTAATATTTTGGATATATCAGCTCTACTCAGTCTCAACTGTATTCATTAAGGCTACTTTAAATCTCATTCAAAAACATATACTTTGTAATCTGGTTAGTTTTGTTTCTTGAAGTAACTAATATCCACTGAAAACATGTATTTGACCTCAGGCATATGTTTCCCCCACCTACTCCGATATTTGCTGGAGGAGCAAATGACCGATGGGTACGATCTGTATCTTTTAGTCATGATGGACTGCATATTGCAAGCCTCGCTGATGATAAGTAAGTTTGTGCATTATCACTTGACGTACTTATTATTGCCTTTGAAAGATTTCCTTTCATCTTTCTACTTAATAAAAACATTCTTAAGCATTAAAGCCTTTCTGTAGTTAAGAGTTTTAATGTCTCTCTCTAGACAAGACCTTTAGAAATGCCGTTGAATTTTAAAGAATATTGGCCTGAGCAAATTATTCAGTGTAAACTAAAGATAATGCATGCCTTTCCTGTGTTCTTATTTAAGCAAACTGATTCTTCATCAGCTTTTAGCCCAGCTCACAGAGATTTTTTTTAAAGTGGTGTCTTGTAAAGGTTGAAGCAGAAAGAAATTTCTGAAGTGCAGTAAATAGTAACATAGTAATTTGTATCTACTATGATTGAGACTAGAAATGACACGTTACATGAAAGAGATGGTCTTATTGGTCAGAATGTTAGCAAACCAATGGGGAGAGTTTTATTTGTTAACAACCATTGTTTTCCTCTTTGCTCAGATAGATTCTGCATATTAGTTTTCCCCTATATTCCTAGACACATACTATCTAGGCTAGGTAAAGAAGCCTTTATAAATGTCTTGGAAGAGGGTAAAACAGAAATCTGAATCTTGGAAGGGAAAGCAGTCATGCTTTGTAGTCTCTGTCTCTTACGTGTGAATTAATCCAAATTACCAAATGGTATAGATTGTAAAATATTTTATAAAGTAAGTTAAAATCATTACCTGTTGGAGTGATTTGTGTGTATATATTTTGTGACTCAGAACACAGTAGCATTTCTTTCTAAAAAAAAAAGTTGCTTTTACCTTAAATTTCCTACTAGATACTCACTAAGATCATTTATTTCCTTTCCAGAATGGTGAGGTTCTGGAGAATTGATGAGGATTATCCAGTACAAGTTGCACCTTTGAGCAATGGCCTTTGTTGTGCCTTTTCTACTGATGGCAGTGTTTTAGCTGCTGGGTAAATATATTTTTCTCTTTAAGGGATAATTTAAGGTGGCTTTTAGGCAAAGTAGCCCGTAACTTATCAGTAATTCTCTAATAATAAGTGCTTTTTATAATACTATTTCTTTGTCATTGGGTATATATATCATTGGTTCTCCTTAGTTAGGTTTATTTGTTGGTTTGTTTTGAGACAGAGTCTCACTCTGTCACCCTGGGTAGAGTGCTATGGTGTCATAGACAGCTCACAGCAACCTCAAATTCCTGGGCTCAAGCAATCTTCCTGCCTCAGCTTTCCAACTACTTAGGACTACAGGTGCCTGCCACAACGCCCAGCTAGTTCTTATTTATATTTTTTTTCTGTTTTTAGTAGTGACGGAGTCTTGATGTTGCTCAGGCTGGTCTCTAGCTTCTGAGCTCAAGCAATCCACACAGCTCAGCCCCTGAAAGTGCTAAGATTACAGGTGTGAGCCACTGCTCCAGACCTGATAGGTTTTATTGTGAAGTCATGACTCTAATACATAGTCCAGGATAATAGTTATTTGAGCTGTAGGGATGTTAAACTACACAAACTTGAGTGCCTAAGTTTATGCTTTGTTTCTTTTTAGGACACAGGATGGAAGTGTCTATTTTTGGGCCACTCCAAGGCAAGTCCCTAGCCTTCAACATTTATGTCGTATGTCAATCCGAAGAGTGATGCCCACTCAAGAAGTCCAGGAGCTGCCGATTCCTTCCAAAGTTTTGGAGTTTCTCTCCTATCGTATTTAGAAGACTCTGCCTTCCCTATTAGTAGGGACTGACAGAATACACAAACCTCAAGCTTTATTGACTTCAAGTATCTGTTTTTAAAGGATTAGAAGATTTATTTAATTTGATACATTCTTGTACTGCATTTTGATCTGTTGAGCTTTTAAAACATTATTTATAGACTAGGATTATAGAAATATTTCTGAACATATCAAATGTAAATTTCTTTACGCTCTAACTGTGAAAACATATACATATATGTATATACTTAGATAAGCTACTATATGTTGAATGGACCCTTTTGCTTCTAATTTTTAGTTTTGGCATGTGTATATTGCTTCAGTAGAACTACAATATGTATCTTTGCTGTAAAGTAGAAGGAGTTTTTTTATTCTGAGATGCTAAATACTAGCTTAAGCTAAATTGCCTCATACAAAATGTATTGGGGTGGGGGGGATGTCAGATTGACCTGCAAATGAAACACAGTTTTTGTATAGGGGAAGGTGGAGTTTGAATTTTGAATGTGACATTGTGTGTTTTTTTTTTTTTTTTTTTAAATCAGAGCCAGGATATAACTAGAAAAAGGATGCCTTTCTCCCCTACCCCCCTCCTCTAAATACTGCTGTGGGCCTTAATTTTGAAAAAGCAGCTTGCTGCTACTTTACTTTTGGGTATAATGTATTATAAATATTAGTCTTTTTGGAAAATCCATCTGCTGTGTTATTGCTAAATATTTGTTTTTACTAAGGGACAATTATTTTAAGACCATGGATTTTTTAAAAAACACTTACTATGTTTCTGCAGGGGATGATATTGGTGGCTTGCCAAAGAGAAGCAATATAGTCTATCTGCGTTTGCCTTCTGTTATTTATCTTACCTGCAGGTATCAAGAATGTACACATTATGTAAAATGCTTGATTATATATTTTTGTTGAATTTTTTAATAAAAGGCTTATCAAAAAAACAATATATTGCAAATGATTTCCTAAATGTGTTAGAAGGATTAGTACTTTCTGATTTATTTCCAGTGTGAGCTTGATGGCACAAGCACAGTAAAAAGGAGAAGGAAGAAATAGAGATTAAGGTACTACTGTAAAGTTAATTCAGTGTTTCATGAACGCAGTGACTTTTATGTTGGTTTGGTTTTGAGAGAACTATTATAGTAATTCTTTTTTCTTTTGTTTGTTTTGAGACAGAGTCCCACTATGTCACCCTTGGTAGAGTACTGTGGCGTCACAGCTCACAGCAACCTCAAACTCGTGGGCTGAAGCAATTCACTTGCCTCAGCCTCCCAAGTAGCTGGGACTACAGGTGCCCACCTCAATGCCCAGCTAGTTTTTTTTGTTGCAGTTGTCAGTTGTTTAGCAGGCCAGGGCTGGGTTCAAACTTGCCAGTCTCAGTGCATGTGGCCGGCTCTGTAACCACTGTGCTATGGGAACTGAGCCACTATTATAGTAATTACTATTTTAAAAGCATGGAAAATCTCTAGAACAAAGGAAAATAACTACTCAGCAAAGGCAACATGTCTTTTATGGGAAATAACAGGCCTCTTTCATAAGCCTATCTGGTTAAAGTAGATACAAGAAAAATCTAGTGATCCAGGTCCTTCGAGAAGCACACACACAAAAAAAGTAAAACTTTCATTAGTCATGGCTGATCTTGAAGACTTGATTGTTACCACTGAAAGATTATTTGGTTCTTACAGTTGGATCTGTTAACAGATTTAAAAATTTAGAGGGATGCAGGTTATAAATTTTAAAATCAGTAGAAAATCCGCCTGAATTACTTCTTGAGGATCACGTATATTTTACAAAAAGCAGTGCAAAAGCCATCTTATCTTTAAACTGCTTGTGACTTTATTACATTTTACTTTGTAATATGTCAGAGTCATAATTTACAAAGAAGGTGCTATTCTCCACACCATTTAATTATTTACTCTCCACATCAACCTATCAAGTAAAAACAGCATTTTGGAAGATAACATTCTCTGAGCTATCCACAAGGATTTTCTGCCTCTTCTCTAGAAACCGTAGTACCAATAAGAAAGGAAGATTGCAGAGTACGTCCAGTAGAAGCATGCTGGAATTTTCAGTTTGTAAGAAAGAACAGGATGATAGTACTTTACACTGAAAGGAAAGTAGGGAGATGAACTGGATTATTGACTTGTGATTTTAAAGTGACAGTGCTTCTTTCTCTTTGCCACAAACGTGTCATTTTTAAGAGTAGCAAGAGTCTTGTTCAGATTGGATTTCCTGTTGTAGCCACAGGGTGCATGTGTATGTCGGAACGCCATCACATGTGCTATCCTTTTATAATAGTGCAGTCATTTTACGACCCGTGACTTGATTGTAGGTTGGTAAATCTTAAATTTATGATCCTTGAGATTCCCTGGCTGCTGTGATTAAGATAAAGTTGGATTCAGCTGGTTTGCACTGCCCTCAAGGCAGCAAGACCAAAAAAGGCTGGATTCCACTGTGGCGTGCTTACGGGTGGAGGCCAGCAGCAGGGGACTTGGCTGTGAGCCAGCACAGGATTAAGGAAATAGCATAAGTTCAACATTGTCTCACAAGCTAGAAATCATTGAGACAGGGACTGCAAGCGAGATAAATCAGAATGAAAGTTTGTAGATGATAACAGAATTTTTGTCCCAAGTAGTTCTGGGAAGATTCTGACCTATGTAATGCATTTTAACTAGTGAATGAAGGTATAGTTGATAAAGCATAAATAACTATAGTAGAGTTATATATGGATTTGCTGTTGTTATGTCAGTGATAAAATCAAAGTATCCATTGGTGTATACTGGGTTTTTTGTTTTTAAATTCATTCCCTCCCCCCTCCCCAAGAAATAAGAGATGTTGGCAGCGAACAATAAAATGCAAACTAGAGACATAGTCATCATAACCTGGGTTTAGTTTATATAATATATTTGGGTGGGAGGAATGCAGATTAGTAGGCTATCTCTACCTGCCCTTTGCTCTGTAAAACTTTACCATGCTGGCACCGTGATCTTGGACTTGCAACCTCCAGAACTGTGAGAAATAAGTTTCTGTTGTTCATAAGCCAACCGGTCTACGGTATTTATTACAGCTGCCCAAATGGACTGAGACATTACAGGACTGGCAGGAATGCTTAAGTCATCTTCATTAGATACAAGCTCTGCCAGAGCGCACAGCCGTTCCTGGTTCTCCAGCTGTCCCTACCATGCTTTGGCAGGAATCCCATAGGTCTCAACTTCTGTCTTGGATGAACCCCGTTGAGCTCAGAAGAACAACATTACTGTGTACTGTGTTACAGGGGTCTGCATGGAGCACCTGGGAAATGGACGAGGAATGTCCCACATCAAAGGTGCCCCCCCATCTCCTTTGTGTGACATGAGCACATTTCATTTGTTTTACTGAAGTTCCAGACGTGCAATTCTTGTAGATAGTTCAGTTTATGGCATTACCTAAACTGGCCTCTTTCTGATGGTCACAGGTGAACCATCCCAGCTGAAAAAGTAATTTTACCCATTCTTTCTAGAATTCCACCAAAGTCCCAATTTCCATACTATTTTGGCCTTCCATGTGATGTCCTGTTGTTAGTGACTTTTTTTTTAATTAAGAGACAGAGTCCCTCACTTTATCACCCTGAGTAGAGTGCTGTGGCATCACAGTTCACAGCAACCTCCAGCAGAATTAGGCAATTCTCTTGCTCAGCCTCCCAAGGAGCTGGGACTACAGGCGCCCGCCACAATGCCCGGCTTTTTATTGGGCGGGGCTGGGTTCAAACTCGCCACCCTCGGTGCATGTGGGCACCACCCCGTCACTCATTCTTAAGTGTTGATCCCTCATTTAGAAGGCAAACTCCTTACTGAAGTGATCCCTTAGCCTTTTCCCACGGAACTCCGTTCCTGTCTGATAGTTGGGTCACAGTGACTGGTGCCATGGAAAAATAAGAGACCAGTCCCCTGGTCGGCAGGCATGGAAGTACTTCTGGGTTGGCTGGCGAGTTCAGATGAGCATTAGGGGCGGGCGGGGGGACCCGTACAGCTCATTCCAGGCGGAGACTGGGTCACACTTCTCAACACCCTGGCCTTCTAGGCTCGTCCCCATCTGGCCTCAGGTCAGGAGGATGCTCATAAAGCAGGTTGGCCTAGTTTCTCACCCAGGGCCTGCGGCCCAGAGGACTTTGCAGAAGTGGTGGCCGAGGCTGCAGTTCCAGGAAAGACTGGGCAATTGCTGGCTTGGCTGCTTAACAGCTTGTAACTTTCAGAGATTTGATATAAACACGCTGCCACAATGCCTACCCTACATGAATGGTATTTGTCTTTTATTTGTATCTGCACAGTGTTGAGTATGTGGCAGACAGTCGACATTGTTTAGCGCTGACCTGCACTCACTGCTCTTCCTCTCAACAACCCTGGAGTAGTAGTATCCCTGTAACATGGCTGTGGAGGTTCAGAGATGACCATCCAGGATTTAAACCAGGTCACTGTGTCTCCAGAGCCCCATTTCTCTTCACAATGGCCATACGCTTTAGGAAACGCACTCAGGCAACATCAAACTCCTAACTTAGTTCCTTCCTGTGTTCCTGCCAGTCTGCGGGGGCCCGTCGTGCTGTGAAGCATAAGCCTTCCCTAACACATGCTACCTTTTACTGAATCATGGAAAAAGCAAACACAAAAGGAATGACTCCAAATATAATTTGGCAATGGAAACCCTCCCAGAGTGTCCTTTGCCCGCTGCCTAGGGGAATTATACTGGAAATTGGTTAACTTTTTCCTTTACTCTGCTCTCCTTGGGAACTCACCTCAAACAAATCATTTTTATTGCCCACGTGAACAAATCCAACGCAAACCAGCTGTATCAGGATGCAGCAAAGCCGTCATTGGAAGTGAGAAATTCAGTTGGCCTTGCAGCCACCGGTTTTAAAGATTAACAATAGGTTAGGTTACAGGCTAACTTGAGCTTCTGCCAGCTGTGCTGGACAAGGTTGGTCTCACTTGCTTGGAGTTGATAGTAGTAATGCCAGCCACCAGGCTGGCACTGGGCCATCATCCTGGAGTCCAGACCAAAATGGGAGGAAGAATTATTCAGGTCAACTGATACAAATGTCATCCGAGGAGCAGGGAAAATTAGTAGCCAGGAAGGACCTGAGTCAGTACTAAAGCATCAGATCATTCCACTGTATTTCATCAATATAAGTTATACTTTGGGCTCAGCGCCTGTAGCTCAGTGTCTAGGGCACCAACCACATACACAGGAGATGGCAGGTTCGAGTCCAGCCTGGGCCTGCCAAACAACAATGACAACTACAACCAAAAAGTAGCCGGTTGTTGTAGCGGGCACCTGTAGTCCTAGCTACTTGGGAGGCTGAAGCAAGAGACTTGCTCAAGCCCAAGAGTTTGAGGGTTGCTGTGAGCGAGCTGTGACACTAAGCACTCTACTGAGGGCGACATAATGAGATTGTTCCCCCTCCCAAAATATAAATAAACAAATAAATAAAAAGTTATACTTTTATTCCCTTACATTTTAACATCTCCGAAAATCAGGATGTATTATATAATCGATGGTGTCTTATGATTTTTTTTCTTAAGTGGTACACACTATAATATTACATATAATGGCACAGATTATAATTGGTGGTGATTAAGATTTGATATCTAAAGTCAATGGAATTTATAATTAAAGGCTCAATGGAATGTTATATATAATGTCAGGAGTCAAACACACCAGAAACAGTAAAGGAAGCATGAGTTAAGATGAGGCAAATTAAGGGCGGTAACATCTGTAAACCCTTCCTGAAAAATGCCTTGACAATCAATGACAACCAACCAAAATGTATTAAAATAGAAAAATAGCCAACATTTATACACTTTTACTGTTTTTTTTTTTTTTTTTGGAGACAGTCTCACTATGTTGCCTACGGTAGAGTGCTGTGGTGTCACAGCTCACAGTGACCTCAGACTCTTGGGC